TTTCTGCTAAAAATTTCCATTCAGGTGTTTGATGCATTATTTCTGAGAGCCATTTTTGTCGTGGACAATTCGTATCAGGATTACCTACCTGAAATTTTAATAATATCCTCATTAAAATTTGACAAGAAATTTAAAAGATAAAAGTTTTCTATCATGAGATTTTTTCAATGATTCTTAGCTTCACTGATTGTATATTAAAATTAAACGAGTAAAATAAAAATACAATAAGTAAAATATGTGCTAACATAATCAGTCTCATCAGGAACGGTATGTACCGGAACAGCAACAAAACCCCGCGGCCATTCCGTTATGTTCGGAAAATCGATCCCAATGCGCTCATTCTGAGATGGATTGCTGTAAAAGCCAATGAAATTTGCCACTGCACTCACTAAAGTTCTATTCACATTTGTCGAACGTACATATATCTGAAATAAATTTCAATATAATTTGTTGTTTCGAGCAAACTTACACCTTTTTTCGACTTCTTCCAAAAACTGACAAATTTAAAATCATCCAATTTGAACACTAATTTAATATTCTTTTAAAGATTGCTTGCAGTAACTACAATAGAATAGCTTTTTTTATCCTACCAATGACTAAACTATCTTCACTTCCTTTCCTTCTTATTACATGCATTTTTTGCAAAACAAAAATTTTTTGAATTAAAAAATTTCCAGAATTTATAGATTCTCTTCCAAATCCTAAAATATCTGATAAGCAGTAGAAACAATTCATCAAATTTGAAAACAATATAATGACATACCTGACGTGCATCGTAATATGGACTGAGAAATTTGAGTAAGTTAACGTAGCGTTTGTAAATAATTTTTCCTAATTTAACGTGCTGCATCATTCCCTCCTATAAAACTACATTTTTATCATGAAGACTGATAATGTATCATTGCAATAATTTTGATCTCATATGATTAATTTCTTTTCTTTAATCCACCCTTATTTGTCTTCTTCCCATTGAGCTCGACCACCCTTTCTACTTCTGATACTTACAAAGACAGAAAAAGGTAATTTTGTAATAGGCAATATTCTGACACTTTTTTCGAAATTACATTTGCTTCACTTTAATTAGAAGTATATATCAAAAAAGCGAAAAAATTCAGAAATGAAAGAAATTCTTTGTTTTTTTAAACTACATAGACCATCAAAATTTTTGTTGATTTCCACAAAATGGAAATTCCTTGCATTCATGAAATTTTCTTCTCTCCCCCTTTCAATTTATACAATTGATCGAAGTAAGACAGGCAAATATAATTTAAAAAAGGATGTTGAAATCGATAGATAAAAATTATCAATTTCATATTTTTAATAATATAACTTACCGGTGTAAGCTGCCCCTTTCCTTGAAGCCAATGCTTTGTACGTATCGGATAACCTTTGCATGATTTTATGGGTGAGCGGTCACCATGCCTCCAAATCTTAATGTTTTAGAACAACAATGGCGAGCGAAAGAATGGATAAATAATTTCGGTAAAAATGAAACAGAAGAAATGGGAACAGAAATCTTCTAATAACTTTCATTTGAAGTTAGTAATAATTTGTCAAGAAGAATAGATGATGAAATAGTTTGAAAGTGCTGCATCAATTGACATATGTATTTATCGTTCCACATCCATGCCAAAATATTTTCTGATTCATTTCCAACAAGGCTATTTTCTTAAGCCATTTTTGTTTCTAAAATGATCTGCAACGTAACAAAAATAGAACTGTTTCCCCCGAATGAATTATGTGTTATTGCACAATTACTGAACAATGCAACCTCGTCTTTCTGAAAAAAATTATTGCAAATTAGATATAAGAATTTATTTTAAAAGCATTTCGATAAATAAAAATTACCGCCTGAAGAAATAAAAGTTTATCGCTTGCCACAACCACCAGAATTGCAATAATAATTATCAATTGAATGTTGCACATTGTAACCTAAAAGTGATATAATCGTTAAATTATATTAGAAATGTTGTGATTCCTTGAAATAGATAATAAATGCGATTCTATCGAAGGGGGAATTGGTACTCCCAATGCCACTTAGGGAATTATTTTTAAAAGCAACCAATTCTCAGCATACGCGTCTTCTAGAATAGAATGAAACATTGAAATGGTTAATAATTTTCATAAATTTAAAAATCAATTAATGACTTATTTCTTAAAATAGATATGAATCTGTATTCAAAAGAGCTTTGTGATTGTGCACTGATAAAAATCGCCAAATATTTTACTGAATGGCATTTGTCGTTGGTCTTATTTTTGGCATCATAAAATTCCGAACATTAACATCAAATATAAATTGCGTCAGTATTTAGGATGAAAAATTAAGTTATCATTGAACTTTATCAGCAAAAATAAATCGATCTTTTTAAACTTAACGCAGTGCCACTGCAAATTTCAATGTGCTCGAAATAGCACAAAAAATATAGTACTGTTCTGTTTTGGTCTTAACCATAAAAGGTTATAGTGTGCAGTATATGTTCGAAAAAATAATAATAATTACCCGGCGTTTTTATCGCTGCTAGATAAAAGTCATAATATATATAAATTTCAAAAAGTACCGAAAATAAGCGTCAAAGATGACAGTACGTTTGTTGCATTATATTGATGTGAGATCAAAAACTACATGGTGTAGTTAATTTTATTCGAATTTACAAATGCAAAAATATGCATTCCTTAGTGTAACAAAATAATAATGTATTCAAATATATATATATATGAAACATTAGAATTGCCTTTCAAAATCTTTCATCAGAAATTCAAATTTTCATCAAAAAGCTCTTTTCACAATTAGTGAATGAAATATCAGTAAGAATTTGCAATTAAACACGTTTCATCGATAATGGAGCAAATATCGTTTAAATGCGAAGCAAACAGCTAGGCATGTTCACTGATACAATAAAATTATACCTGCAGGTTGTAAAAAAAAAATTCTTGAACGTATAAAATTAAACTAAAAAAAAATTAAAATTGTACCTATAAAATTATATCTATAGATTGAATCTGAACGTATAAAGCAAATATTTCGAAACAGATCCATAACACGACGATTCATTTAATGTATTTTATTAACGATTTTGATTATTTTCAATTCAATTATAACGTTACAGTTGCGATAGAAAACGGTATAGGAACAAATAAATATATGCACACTTATTGTTAGATGAATCAAATGGAAACAACAAAATGATATTATATATTTTCTACATTTGTTATATTCAATTATTTGATTATAATTATTTCATATTATTTGCAGATAAATTAATTGAGTTTATTTTTTTATCCGCTTCCCGCTGATTGTAAACAAGCAAATATCAGTTTGAACACACATAGTAGTGTGACCAAAGATGAACTATTCAGAATATCGTTGATAAATTGTGACTGTCCACACTGAATCCCAAAGAGAACAGTTGTGTCGACGAGAGGAATAAAGAAATAGACTGAAAAAGAATGTTGAATGTTTATATATGCAATAAATACAACTCTTGTTAAATCGAAATTCGAAAAAGAAATGAAATCTTAGAAGATTAGATGAAAAACATGCTACTATAAAATTGAAGACGTCGTTTGAAAAAAAATCACTCTTAGCTAATCACAATATATTTATCCATGTGAACAAGTTTAAAGAACTAAATCTTTTCATACCTCTATCATAGATAATCGTTATTTGTTAAACAATTGCTATTGTAATTATTCTTCAATCATTTTTATAGTGATAAATTTGCAACATATGAAGCCTTCTACCTTGTGTGAAAGGATAATAACTGTATTAGTTGGAACACACAAAAAAATTATGTTAAATATTTCTTGAGCTTTGATTTCTATTACCACAACAAGTTTTAATTCTTTCCAAGTCGCCGGAAATTGATATTAAATAATCATTGACAATGGATGGATTTTTACATAGATGTATTCAAATTATTTCATAAACAATATAGTTATTTTCAAAAATATGTGAACGTCATAACTGATGACAAATATTTCAGCAGTTCTGGTATTCCTGGTTAGAAAATATATCATTTCCAATTACAATATACTTCTGGTTAGAAAAATATATCATTTCCAATTACAATATGTCTGAAGAAAAACAGAGCATCGAGAGCACTCAGTCTTATAACAGCTTAAAAATAATATAAAAAACCATGATTAATGTGAATTTTTTTTGAATATTCATTTGCAATTGGTGAAGGAAAGGATTATGCGAGAAAGGATATGAGAGAGATGAAAAGTTAAACAAAGAAAGCAGTGAATATTTATTTAACAACAAAGCAGTGAATATAATATTTAATATTTTATTAGAAATATTTACTAAAAATATTCACATACACCAAAAAGGCATAATATATATGCAGCTGAAACAGTAAAGCTAAAAGCAAAGTGGAATTGCTCAATGACTCAATAAACCCAAATAAAATGAATTCAGTGGCGGGTCTCAATGATGTAAATATACCACATTTACAGTATAATATCTTATATAAAACTAATAAACAGTAAAGTGAGAAGAAATGTACAAAATTATGATTGAAGCTAATTGTTTTGAGTACTGTATTTGCAACTGAAGTGAGAATAATGTGGGAGAGATATGATTTACAAATCAGCAATAAAAGGAAAGAAAACTGAAAGAAATCACAGATACTCTTGAATATCATAGATACGAGATTACAAAAAATAATAAAAATGTCTCAGATATTTTTATTATTTTTTAGAACTACGATATTCAAAACCATCTGTGTTTCTGAAACAATATTTTGACCGTATAACTCTATACAGTCAAAATATTATTTCAAAAATATAGATAGTCTTGAATATCATATATCTAAGAAAAAAAATTATGCGATAGCGAGAAAACAACTTTTATACAAGAGTGATTTGGTCGACCGATACGTGTAATCAAGTTGGTGAAAAGCTGGTCAAGAGAGCAATGAAAATCATCTATAATATTATTATATATTCTGAATAATACAGATACAATTTCGTTCATGCTAATTATATTTCATCATCTGATAAGTTTAGTAAAAATATTCAAACTGCAACGGCGAAAGGTGTTTGTAAAAGACATTTTATGGACTACTTTGATTCATATTATCATCAACTCAGCTTCAAATCTTTTTCGAAGTAGAAAGTTGCTGAGTGAACCAAAACAAATTAGTCAAGATTTACAGAAAATCTAAAAAAATCACATCCATAGAACTATTAATATTAAGATAATGCACTGCTTTCCAAAATTATACTCTGATAACTGCTTCTAACGATCAGAAAAATTTAGCTTGTCCTAGATTCCGAAAAAGTTAACTGCAGAAGTTCTTTAGTAAAAAGACGGAAAAAAATATATTGGAAATAATTTATTTAAACTATATCAATTTTCATACTGTTGTATGAATTGCCAAGATAAATGCAGAATATTTAATCGAGCAAACATATTATGGAGAATTCTGTGGGAGAATTATCTGAAATGCATCTGCAGCTGCACATCAAAAATTTTCAAAAATTCTCCACTTCTTAAATTTGATCTTATTTTTCGGAAACACTATATAATAATATTAATATCACAGTTGAAATATAAGAAAAAAACACTAAACAAAACTAACACTAGTAAAAGTGCTAACATCTGGCAGTGAAAAGAAAATTAAGCTTTTATCGAAACCATTACAAATTCAAAAAAATACTCAATTCATGGCGATATGCCAACTGCATTTCTGAAATGAACTGAAGAAGCGCAAAATGAGCAGAAAACAGAGCATTTTAAATACAATCTTTGGTAGCAATTCGGGTTATTATTGCGTCACTTATTGTCTCATCATTGTATTCGGATTCTTTCACTTTGTATATCTGCAAATTTTCACCTTTTATCTTTTTAAAAACATTAAATCACGAAATGAAAGCCAGTTTTCCAAGTTTTTATTCAACGATTTCCATTCGCGTACAGTGACAGAATGATATTTAAAAATAAGCGTCATTTGTCCTATTCAGGCAGTAATATTCCAAGATAGAATATGAAAATTTATGACTTTAGGAACCGTTTCAATTTTCTGCATCTTTTTTAAACTTTTTCTTTACAAAATATTCAAAATAAAGTCGACTTCTGGTATTACCTAAATGTATAGAAACTCTCCAAAAAACATTTAAGAGCATCAAAGTGTTCTAATATAAAATTTTCAAATTTTTACTAACCTTTTTAATACGCTCGTAGTCGGCCATTTGAGGTAGTATGGTCATCGGAACTGGCTTACCATCAATTTTCTTTGCTACTTCAACCATTTTCTCACCACTTTCGTCGTCAAATATACCGACTAAAAGGTTACGGCTTTCTTCCGCAATACCAAATGTTAGTAATGCCTCCAATATCTACAAATATTATCAGTACCTCAGTTTTAGCATTAAGAGTATGCAACGACAATACAACATGTCTTTCTACTCAAGAATCTAGCAATATCTTTAGCGACATATAAACGGTTTAAAAACAATGTAAAATTGAGATTCTGTCTAAAAATCAAAAAATATTTTACGATTAACCAAAAGTGTTTTACAAGCTCCAACTCACAATTTTTGCTCATCTTCTATTGATTTAATCCTAACAACAGCGACAATACTCTGCATTTTAATCAGAACAAACACAGAAAAAAACTGAAACAATTTATTTTTCAAAAAAAAACCGCAATAAAACAACTTACATTTCGGTCAGGCGATAATGAGTATAACAATTCAGAATGAAGCGTCCGCGTTGAAAGTCGATTATGCGCAGCTTGATGAACAGCTTTATTTGCTGCTGCTAAAAGCGTGAAAACTTCCAAAACCTAGAGAAATATCTCGTTTCAAATAATTCAATTAATAAGATTAAAAAATCCTGTTATTTTCTCAACGAACTCTATCCTTTAACTTAATATTATAATAATTACAGAATGTCTAATAAAAATTACAAAGAGAATAATAAAGAAAGAGGAAACCATGTTTTTATACATAGTGTATACAGTAAATCGCAGTATACAATTTAGGTGCAAATTATATATTATATTTATTCATGTAGTCAAGCTTAACCAAGCAGATCATCAAATGGAAATAGACGTCGACTGTCACTGCGACAATAAGTGTTGGATTAAGGAGGGGAAGATTTTATATACGACCGCGGTCAGTGCTGAAGAAAGAGTAGTTCATTCACACATTTATTTGGATGAACAGAGAGCTCGTCAGTAACAACATCGATCAGCAAACTTGATGCAAGATGGATAAAGTTGAATAGCTGTTTAGCTAGATAACAACATCAGTTCTCAACAACAAAACCAGTTTAACAAGCAGTGGATCAGTCAGTGAGATTAGGAACTAAATAGCCCATGATTGCAACAAGCGTTAAACTTTTTATGTCGTTATATTTCATTTATTAATAAATTTTCTATATCATTTTAATCTTTCCTGACAAGGAAACTTTAACACGTTAATGAAAACTAAGCATCAGAAAGATATTTATTATTCTTTATTTATCAGTTGAAAATGGTAACAGATGAGTTAGCAGAAATCGTACAGAGAGCGTTTGCAATTAGTAGTAGAATCCTTCAAAATTTCATCAAGCAGACAAATTTAATCATCAAATTTAACTTTGGTTGGATTAGTTCTTACCAGTTCAGGTCTGATCAAAGCGGCATCGACTGATCCATCTACCAGTGCTTGTCTCAGTTCCGGAGCATTTTTGACATCGATAAATAAACAAACCCGGAAAAATCGTCTCTGCGAGATGTCATACGGATCTGGCAAAAGTTCGAATAACCGAGAGGTACCTGATTTCATCCTCTTCTTTCCCCTAAAATGTATCACTCATTATTAAATATGCAGAAATTGTTACCGTAAGGAATTTGAAATTAACAAAAACTGATGCTTTATAAAACAATTTGAAGGGTAAAATTTGTTGATTGAAATTAAATTGAGTTAAATGATAACATTCGACGTTTGGAAAAGAATATTTAAAGAAGAGAATATTTTCTAGGTTTATTCACACTGGGAAGAAATCTCTAACACTTTCCACCACAAATCAATATTTTTTATTCTTCTGACTCGAGACTTCATAAAAACATACTTCCGTGTCTCAGATATCTCATCCTGACATCCTGGAGAGCAGTCCATCACATACACATATAAGTCGATGAATCCCAATCATCGAAAGAATACTGAATGTATAGCGTAGCTATTGTTGAGACAAAATATATGACAGTTAGAACGAAAATACACTCTTTGGAGAGAATTAGTAATGGAGAGATTGCGAAATAGATAAATGGGTGAAGGTTGAGAACGTCAGAGACTTGGATTAAATAGTGTAGAGGAGCGATTGAGAGAAGATGGAGGAATAAATAGAAGATTTTGCTTTGATGGCGGAACACGTAACCTGCGGGAGTACCGAGAATTGAAGGATTGGGTTTGGTTAGAGGGTGATGAGGCTTTTGAAGCTGATGTTAATTACAACCTGATGGTAGATCCTCTAATAATTCTCGATTCTGAATTTGAGGGATGGACGAAAAAACGTGATGGAATGAAGAGAAGAAAGGAACAGTTCTGATAACTATTCAAGTATCCCACTATTTCGAATGAATGATATAAGAAGAAATCAAAAATTAGCGGTAATTTTTCACCTTTTCCAGATCCTTCCACTGATATCTATTTGTATTTTGTACTTTTATTTTTCACTAATTAAATATTACTTTCTTAACTTTTGGAAGAGGAAGATAAGAGATAGGATTTTAAAACTGTAATATTATTCTTTTCATCAAACAAAGACAAATATAGAAGCAGAATAAGTGATGTAGCATAGCAGCTGAGTGATTCAAATATGTTACAGCAGCTATGCCTCATGTCCTAACTTTCAATATCTTACCTTATAACAAGTGACATCGTTCCGTTAAAAAATAAATGAAGAGGTGTCAATTACAGAAAATATTAGGAAAATATTGTTTAGCAGCAAGTATTTTATAATACACCACTCTGTGCTCATTTGTAGAAATTTTTATCATTTCCTCTTATATTGGATGAACTTTTCGGATATGAACTGAAATTAATAATACTGCTACCTTCATACAGATACATTGTGAAGGTTACAGAAACAATCATTAAAAACAGCATGGGAAAAATTGGAGAAAAGCTAACAAAAGAAGAAATTTTGAATAAAAAGTTTTCGGAAGCTTTGCAGAATGGCAAATCTATTAATTGATTTTTTTTCTTGCACCTTTGCACTCTTGAAAATTTCAAATTTTCACAAAAACATTTCAGTGATTCCCGGAGCTCTTATAACATTTAGAAGCAATTATATGAGCTGCATTTTGTTTCATTAACACTATTTAAACATACGAACAAAATATTTGAAAATATTTGAGCAGATGACATCTGTTTACTTATTACTTGTTATTAATAAGTACACAAAAACGTTTTTAAGATTTCCGGAGCTATCGTAACATTTAGAAGCAGTTATTGCAAGCGAACAGATGTCATCTGCTCAAAGTTATCGAATGATACTAAATGTACAATTTTTGTAGGGTAAGCATTACTAATTACACAGTGGAACTCTCGCAAAAGATGAGTAAGCAACTCCTTGCCACACATGTAAAATAAATGTTCCATTGCTGAGATAAATTTATGGCTTGCATGGTCTATTGCTCAAAGGACGCGCAATGACACATTCTGCTATAATTAACTTAGTTCTTTGGTTTTT